GAACCACCGCAATCGGGCGTAGTTTGGTCGAATCCGGGAGAAAGCGCAGGTCGGAGTAGAGAAGGGGGGGGCCCGACAGCCACCGCCGTAGGCGCGCGCTCGAGCCCAGGCAGGTCCGCAGCGGCTCCAGGGCTAAGGCGGGGGAGGGCGCGCGAAGCCGCCGGACCTCCCGACGCACCCACGGCCCCCACACCGCCTGGGGGATGAAAACCAAACACTGCACGTTCTTCGGGCGCCAGGTCACGTGGAAGGTCCGCCGGATCAGGTACGGGATCACGTGTTGGGTGAGAAAATACACCACCTGCAGGAAGACGCGCTGCTGGAGCATCGAGCGCCGCGCCCGAGGCGACGACGACGACGACGACGACGACGCGCGCGGAGCCCTCAAATCTTTGGGGCCCCCCGCCTCCCCGCCCGAGGATCCCTCGCGCGCGGTGCACAACGACCGCAGCCATGGAATGGACCCCACCGGCACGCGGTCCAGAAAGGCGTGGAGCGGGAAGGCCCCTTGTCGGCCGAACTCCAGCCAATCCCCCAGCGTCCGGCACAGCGCGTCGAGAACCGCCCTCGAGCGGCACGCGTCCACCCCCCAAAAAGAACCGCCGAAGGAGGCAGGAGCCTCCGTTCGCGCTCGTTTCGCGCGGCGGCCCACCGGGCCGCTTCCGGGGTATCGAAGCCGCCCCAAAAGATCACGAAGATAGGCAATAATAAGAGGGACCGGCGCGATCACATCCGACGGTCGCACCTCAAGCCCGCTCTGAACCGTGCGTTGAAAACGCGATTCCAAAAACCCACAATGGCGAAGCGCCGAACCCCGAAGATCCAGTCGGCTGCACTGGGTTAAAAGCTGCTGCAAAACCCCGCGTAGACGCCCCCGCGGGCCGCTCGATTTGCAGGATGACGCGTCCGCGACGTTCGTCGGGGCGGCGTCGGGGCGAAAGAGGGCCGCATGGGCGTGCAGGGTGTAGGGGAAAACCGCGTTCAGCACGTCCTCGGAAACCGGCACGAGCGACGCCCTCGGGTTACCGGCGTCTCCGCCGGGCGGGCCCTGGATCGGCTGGGGGGGATCGCCCCCCTCGCCTTCCGCCCGACGGCGTCTGCGCTGGGTCGCCCGCCGCCGCTCCGCAGGGCGCAACCCCGACTCCACCCAACACCCCAGG